TTATTGGTCATATTTGGTATCAAGTTTAAGAAGTCTTTGCTTGGTCAAGCCAAAGATTGTCTGCTCTTTTCTTCCTAAAGTTTTTATAGTTTGGTGGTTTATATTTATATCTGTGACCTATTTTGAGGCAATTTTAAAAATAAGGTATGAGGTTAAGTTGAATTTTTCCTGTCTATGGATGTGTAATTTAGAAGTTGCATTTTGACAAACACTTTGAGGTATGAGGAGCACTAGGAGGGATTTGTGATTGATGAGATGGTAAATAGTTAATAACCCACTTTCAGGGGGGAAAGGGAAATTTCTGCATAAATATAACTGCCAATCACTTCTGAGCCATTAGGCTAAGAACAAGTTTAAATACAGCAGCCATAATCTTAAGCTACTAATGTGATGTCATTGAACATAGAGTTGGGGAGAGATGTGTACACATTCAATACTATGTAGTATTTCTATACTCAGCAGATATAAACAGCCTCTAAAGCATAAGCAATAGCAAACTGCAAAAAGTGATGAGTTCTAATGTTACCATTCTTAAAAATTTATAAAGTTAAATTTATAATTTAACTTTCAGTTTATTTCAAGAACGTTGAAGGTCCTGGAACTGGAGAGATGGCTCTGTGGTTAAGAGGACTGCCTGCTTTTACAGAGGACCCAGGTTTAAATCCCAGCACCACATGGCACTCCTTGCTTTTACAGAGGACCCAGGTTCAAATCCCAGCACCACATGGGAGCTAACAACTGAACCTAACTCCAGTTCCAGGGGATCTGTCATCCTCTTCTGACCTCTGCAGGCATTACATGACACAGGTGCACTTACATGCAGGCAATACACTCTTACACATAAAATAAAAAATCATAAATAAAATTAGAAAAAAAAGAATGTCGAAGGTCTTAAGAGCTTGCCCTATTTATAGGGTAAATATAGTAGACAGGTAAGCTTGTCACAGCATCACAGAAGTGACAGAAAACGTGAGTCAGAGCTAGCAGTCTCTATTATCCATAGTAACCACAGTGCCCAGGGTGTCACCGTTGCCCTGTTCTGCCTCCACAACCCGATGCCCACAAGGTGATGCAGAATGAGCCCCAAGATCTTCCTGTCTCCATCACTTGAGTGCTGGGATTACAAGCATGCACCACTGCACCTGACTTTTTAAATGTGGGTTCTTGGTTTCAAATTCAGGTCTTCACATGTGTGTGACCAAGTATTTTATCAACTGAGCCATCTTCCCAGTCCTATGGGGATGTTTAATTATATCAAATCCTCCCTGTGACCCTATGATATATGGGTTTTTATGTCCTTGTTAATAAATGAGGAAAAGAGCTAGGAGGTGATGAAGCAGTCAGGTGCATTGCAGTTCTGAGTCGCTGAGAACTCAGCCCTTTTCCACTCAAAACTCATAGAACTTGGCATTATCTGTAACCTACCAGCCTTTTCTCTGCCCATCTCTGAACAGGGAACTGTGGCATAATGGCTACCAGCTTCTGGTCTCTGACACTTTAGTCTGATGTGACCTTGGGCAGATTGATCTGCTTCTGTGTCTGTTTCCTCACCTGTATGGTGGGTTGATAGAATGCCCTGTGTCCTAGTTTGCTTTCTGTTGCTTTGATATACACGATGACCAAAAGCAACTTGGAGAGGAGAGGGTTTATCCATCTTCTAGATCACAGTCCATCACTAAGGAAGTCAGGGCAGAAACTTGAAGGCAGGAACCTGGAGCAGAACCATGGATGAATAACTTCACAAGGGCCAGGAAATGACTGAAAGCATCTGGTGGATGTGTGGTGCCTTTCACTCTTGGCTGTCTCATCTCTCCAGTTTCCTGTAGTTGTGTGACCAGTGGGCTCACAGAGGGCCAGGGATGCATTCGGCTGCAGTAGTGGGTGCATTTCAGGTGGGGATGGTGTCCTTGAGGGACGGTAAAGCTTCACTCCAGATACCCAGGAGAAAGCTTGTAGAATCAATGGTCAGTAGCCTGCCTTCTAAGCCCCTCCACTCAATATCTTCTTAGGATCAACCCCCACCCCCTCTGCCACTTGCCCCATGGCCAAGCCTGGGGTCCAACTCATGGTTTCCCTGGAGCCCACCTGCAGCTCCTTCATCCTCTTCATCATAAGTCTCCTTCCCCAAGATATGGGGTAGAAGTACCCCTCCTAAGGATCATGCTCATGTGAAGAATAGATCCCTGTATAAACTCAGTGCCTGCTCATCTTAGCTGTTTCCCTTTCATTAGCCTCTTCATGATGGTAACAGGCTATTGACCATGTCCTATGCACCTTACATTTGGTATCTCAGCAAACTTTCACTGATAGATATTTCATTCTCAGTTTACAGCTTGGAAAATCATTAGAACTGAGTAGTTGGGTAAGTTAGTGATGTGCGTCGAGTCTGCGTTTAAACCCATGACACCTAACCCTAGAGTCTATTTATTTATTTTTGTTTTGAGCTAGGGTCTCACTCTGTAGCCCAGGCTGACTTGGAACTCACTGTGTAGCTCAGGCTGGCCTTGCAGTCATAGCAATCCTCCTGCTTCAGCTTCTGAATGCTAAGACTGTGAGTGTGAGTTACCACTCCTAGTGCTAGTTCATTCTTAATTACAAGTTCTACTGGCTCCTCTATCCCAAATGACTAGGCGCTCAGCAAGCAGGCCTGTGACTATTTGGTATATCCCAATGGGATGTGACTTTCTTCTAGACCACAAGGCCCTTACATATAGACACATTTTAAAATAATTTAACAGGGCCTATGAGATGGCTCAGTGGGTAAAGGTGCTGATCAAGCCTGGAAGCCTGAGTTCAATCCCTAGAACCCATATAAAAGTAGAAGGAGAAAACTGACTCCACAAAGTTGTTCTCTGACTTCTACACATGCTCTGTGGTATAATGCCCCTTCCCCACCTCACCCCCCCACACACATACAAAATAAAAATTAAGGTAAAACAATTAAGCAGAGAGCTGAAGAGACAGCTCAGTAGGTAAGAGTACCTGCTCTGCAGTCACATGGACTGGAGTTTGGATTCTAGCATTCACATAAAAAAACTACGTGTGGTCCCACCCATGCTTGTAACCCCACCACTGAGGGGCGGGCAGAAGATCACTCGGAATTGCTGGGTCCTAGCCTAGCCAGAGGGAGAGGGAGAGGGAGAGGGAGAGGGAGAAAGGAGAGAGAAAGAGTTCCAGGTTCAGGGAGAGACCCTGCCTCAATGGAATAATGTAGACAGTGACAGCAGAGAATATCCATCATCTTTCACCCCCATGTGCATGGATTTGAACACACACACACACACACACACACACACACACACACACACACACGATAAATAAAAAAAAATTTGAAAAAGAGCCAGGCATGGTGGTACATGCACCACCTCCCAGCACTTGAGAGGCAGAGGCAGGCAGATTTTGGTGAGATCAAGCCAGCCTGGCCTACATAGTGAGTTCCAGGCCAGCTGAGGCTACAGGGAGACCCTGTCTCAAATCAAAACAACAACAACAAAAAATTTAAAAGGTTATGTGCTCAGGAGTGAGGTAAGGCAGAATCTTCTGGAGGCCAGACAACACTGAGAAAGTAGACTGAGTAGGGTCTGAGGGAGGAGAAGGCAGTCAAGCAAATGGCCAGGGAAGGCACTGCAAGCCCAGGGACCAGCCAGTGCACAGGCCTGGTGGAGGCAGGAGCACACAGGTTCAAGAGACAGACCAGCGCTGCTGGGGAGAGGAAGAGAAGAGGCCTTGTATGACAACATGCTCTGAGCAGCAGAACTCTGAGTCGTGGAACCGTAAAGGGGTATGTGACAGTGATGTTCCTTTGCCTTTTCACCACCCAGCCAGCAGACATGACTGCCCAACCTTGCCTTGGGGTGTCTTCCACCTTCTCAGTCCCTCACACTCTGAACGGCTAGCAGCACCAGCTGTGGCGGTGGTGCTGCACATCTGCGTTCTTCATGGCTTTCCCTCCTCTCAGCTAGCCTGCCGGCTGGCTCTGACCTAAAGGGAGGGCACTGGCCAGGGCTCAGAAACATAGCCTTGAGGCCTTGGCTCTGCCTGCCCTGTCATTTGAGTGCTGCTACTGAGGTCCTCCAAGCTTTGATCCGCCAGTTCCAGAAATCCAGTCACCTTTGGAAAAAGGCTTCTGAGTACAGAATTGGTGAATCATAAAAATCACAGAATATTGCTGGGCGTGGTGGCGCACACCTTTAATCCCAGCACTTGAGAGGCAGAGGCAGGCGGATCTCTGTGAGTTCAAAGCCAGCCTGGTCTACATAGTGAGTTCCAGGACAGCTGGGGCCACCGGGAGACCCTGTCTCAAAAAGACAAAAAAAATCACAGAATATCCAAACTGGATGTGAACTCGCCATCAACAGGTTGAGTCTCAGTGGTGGTTCTGCTGTCTTAACTTTCCCAAGTACTCCTGAGCCATGCCAAAGGCCAGGGAGTCTCAGCTCTCCTCTAGTTACCCCGAATTCCCAAGGCCCAGGCTGCACTGTGGGCAAATTACATCATAGTCTCTTGAAAGATGATGGATTTTCACACTCAGTCCACATGATTCAAATGTGTCCAAGTGAGGACCAGGGCTGTGAATCCCACAACCTCTTCAACAGACAGGGTGTTGCAGTCATCATAAATGGAACCTGTGGGGTTAGACAGACTCCGACTTGGGCTACTACTCTGCAGCTCTCTACTGGGTGACCTCACTCAACTTCCTGAACCTCTGTCCTCATCTGTTATAAAGTTCACCATAGTAACACACCTACCTTTTATTATTCTCAAGTTCGGGTACATTCATCTGTGAGAAGTACCTGCACAGTGCTTCATGTCCATTGAGGGTCCAGTAAGTGGCTTGTGTAGTTCTGACTTTCTCAAAGGGGAGGCTGTCCATTTATTAGAGACTCTTCTTCAGGTTTGGTTGAAGTGTTCTTTACAGCTGCAAGAGAGATCTCAAAAGCCAAGTTGGCTTCTTTCACCTGGCTACTTAAGATCACTCTGTGGTTTTCTGTTATTCTCAGGGTCACGACACAAGTCTTTCATTTGCCCTCCCCACCTTTGAAGTCTGGGCTCTGCTGCCTCATTTTCTCATCTTGCTTCACCCTCAGGACCCAAGAGAAGGTGAGTCTTGTCTTTGATTGCTTCCACCAGCTATGCTTTGTCCCACCATAGGACCTTTGCTTGTGAATGCCCTCCCACCTCCTGTCTGCGAATGCCCTCCTACCTCATGTCAACAAATGTCTTTTCCAGCCAGCTGCCCTGGCAGGCTCCCACTCTCCTTCAACTCTGTGGTGACTCTATCAGCTAACATGGTGCCAAATTGTCACTTTGCCATTCTTGTGGCATCATGCCACAGTAGACATTTTGCACTTATTTGTGTGGCCATTTATCCAATGTCTGTCACCTGTGTCTTACAAGAGAAAAGACCTTTGGATCAAGGACCATTTTATGGCACAAAGATGCACCAAGCTCTGCATCTTCCTCAATGCCTATGAGTGGGAAGATCCAAGGACAGGCCCTGGTTTCTGAGACTGTGCAGGAAACAATCAGGGCGAGGAGGAAGGACTAGGGTCCCTGTGCATTGGGAAAGGCCATCTTCTGGGAATACCTTTCCTTATCTGGAACTCCATCTTGAGTCATTTGTCTGAGAGCTCCAAGTGGCTCACCCAGAAAGCAGCTCCAGGAGGACAGACACCATATCAAAGTTCTGGTCACCACAGGGTCCCCGCTGCCTACTGCGATGCTTGGTACATATAGGATGTTCAAAACATATTTTTTGAATATACTAACTTGATAAAGTCTACCAGCTGTTTAGGTTCTGTCCTCGAGAGCCCCTCAAAGCCATTGTGGCCTTTTACCCCAGTACTACCCTATGAGGATGGGACATGGGCCCTCAGGGCTCCTCTTCTTCCCTCTCTTCCTCTTCTTCCCCTTCCTGAGCCTCTGGATAGGTTCAACTCTGGGTGGTGGATGGGTGGGTGGAGGTGGGGTGTGTTGTAAGGGCTGTTTGCCCAAGATGGTGGGCCAGCTGGGAACCAGAACCCTTCAGGATGAATGCCCTGGTTAGCCTTTGACCTCTGAGGCCCTCTATCTTTGTGCAGCTCATGCACTAAATGTGCTGCATGGGGCGAGACCCCCCCAGGTGGAGATGCGCATTTTGTACCAGGAAGCCATGTTGGAGGATTGTCTGCCTCAGTGGAGAACTTTAGGAGGGATACAGAGGAGTGGTGCGCTGTAGTTAGAAGGCCATCCTAGAGAAGAAATTCCCGTGAAACAAATGGACAGTTCCTTCTTCTTGTTAAATTAGGGCCAATGAGGGACAAAATTATAAAGTAGATGAAGAATGTGTTTTTAAAAAATATTTTATTATTTTTATGTGTATGAGTGTATTGCCTGCATGTATGTGAGTGCACCTGTGTCGTGCAATGCCACAGACGTCAGAAGAGGGCTTCGGATTCCCCTGGAACTGGAGTTAAGGATGGTTCGTAGCCGCTATGTGGTGCTGGGAATCGAACCCGGGTCCTCTGCAAGAGCAGTCAGTGCTCTTTAACCGCTGAGCCATCTCTCTAGCCCCAAGAATGTATTTTTTAAAAAAGTCATTTGCCCAGAGCCATCCTTGGACTTTTTTCTGGGAAGTTCCTTTTAGGCCTTTGTCTCCAGAGCAGGGACTGACTACTGAAGACTGACCAGCCACACTATCCCTGTCTCTGCGCTCAGAAGTTATGGGCAAGGATCTTGGCCTGTGACCCTCAGATGGAAGTGGAAAGTCCTGAGGGGAGGCAGTCCACCTCAGCAGGTTGTGGTGCTGAATGGGTTCTGAGTCTCAGCCTGGCCTGGGGACACTGGTCATTCCAGCCTCCCCTCTGCAAACTGGGGACATCTGCTGAATTTGAATGAAACCTTCCCTGGACCAGATCAGATCCTGCTTCGGGGGAGGGAGATATTAGGGACCCAACTTCTTCTTGCTCAGGGATGTTTCCAAGTCAGGAATGTACCTTGGTTTGTCTGGCTGCCTCCCATTGGAAGCACGGGGTGACCAGGACGGCCTGCTGCTCACAGACCTACCTGCTTGTGGGTACTGTGGACACCATAGGTGGCAGTATGGCTACTGGATTCCGACATCCTGGGTTCCATCCTGGTGATGCCACTTCCCAGTGAGGCAACCTTTGGTATTGACCTTACCTTTCCCGGACTCTTGAACTTCTCTGTGAAGTGAGGTTAGTGATCTTTGAACCTGCTCACGGGAGTTTGAAGTGTAAACCAGCCACATGCATCAAGGGCAGCATATGTTCAGTAAATGCTACTGTTATTTTTGTCATAGCTCAGGAAACCTAACGGCGATTTGTTATACTAGAAGTCTTCAGTGAGGGGTGAGGAGATGACTCAGAGGTAAGAGTGCTGGCTGTTCACGCCTGAGGACCTAAATACAAATCCCTAGAACCCATGTCAAAAGCCAGGCATGGTTGCACGTAAGCCTATTACCCCAGTACTGTCCAGGGTAGAGACAGGAGGATTGATGGGGCTTGCTGGACATCAGCCTAGCTCCAAATTCAGTGAGAGACCCTGTTTGAAGGGAATAAGGCAAAAAGTGATAGAGTAGGACATATCTCACACCACACACACACACACACACACACACACACACACACACTGACATACACACAGTGTTCAGTGGAAGCAGAGGCCCCAGAGTGAAGGTTTAACCTTCAAAACAGGCTGGCAGATTCTTCTAGCCATGTTAATGTATGTTTTGGGAATTTGAGTCTCTTTTCCTTGCTCTGTTTTGATGCTAGAAACAGACATGTGGTGCCTGTCCTAGTTTGTTTCTCCATTGCTGTGACAAAATACTCTGACCAATACCAACTTGGGGAGGAAAGGGTTTATTCAGCTTACATCTCCCAGGTCCCAGTTCATCAGGGAGCCCAAGGTAGGAACTCAGGGCAGGAACCTGGAAGCAGGAGCTGGAGCTCAGGCCATGGAGGAACGCTGCTTATTGGCTTGCTCCCCTGGCCCTTGCTTAGCCTGCTTTCTTGTGCCACACAGGCCCACCTTTCCGGGGTGGCACCATCCACAGTGGGCTGTACCCTCCCACGTCACTCAACAATCAAAACAAAATGATGCCCCATGGACATGGCCACAGGCCAGTCCAAAGAAAGCAATTCCCCAATTGAGGCTTCTTCAACCCAGGTGTGTCAAGTTGACACTAAAGCTATCCAGCACAGTGCCCAAATGGATTCTGAGATCATTTGGGCCAACCCTTCATTTTGCTGAGGCTGCCAGATGTTAAGGACATGGCCCAAACCATACAAAGAACCTGAAAGCATTGGGGACTCAACCCCATGCTTCCCAGGAGGTTGTGTGTTCCTGCGCTGTGTGTCTCTTCCACAGAGTGCTTGAAGCTCTGCGCTGACTGAAAACATCAGGGAGAGGTGAGGCTGTTTTGATTCCTTTTCAAGGTCATGGCCACCTAAGAACCTGGGCTAGGGCACATTGGCTTCTCTGTCTTGGAACTCTGAATCTAGGAATCAGCCAGCCTGTCTAGTCTCCCGTCTCTGACTGGAGGTTTGTGTGGTAGATGTTCGCCCCCTAGTGGTGCAAGTGAGTATGACATACAGCCTGGAAGAGTCCCTCCTGCCAAGGACTCCCGTGCTTACAGAACTGTCTTCCTCCTTCACCTCACTCTAATTCCAGACCTGTTAGATCCCATCTTTACTAAAATGTTGAAATTTTGGTCTTCATTTTTGCATTAATTTTGATCTATTAGTACTCTGCATTAAAATATTATTGGTATAGAATATTGAGTTTTGGGTCACTTTCAATTTTGTGCATGGTATAGGTGCCTCGTTCCCTCCTGTCACACTTTGATCATAAGTACCCACAGGAAGACTCCCTAGGTACATGGAGCACGGCCCTCATTTATCAGGACAGGTCCAAGGCCTGTGGGGCAGCGTGGGTGGGCTGGAATCTCAGCTCTGTCTTGATCATAATGAATGTTCTCCCAGCTTTCTCCAGAAGGGGATAGATGCCTTCCAAAGTGTGTCTTCTCACTTCAATGAGAAACTGCCTTTGGATCAAAGATCATTTTATGGCACAAAGATGCACCAAGTTCAGCATCTTTTTCACTGCCTATGAATGGGAAGATCCAAGCATGGGCCCTGGTTTCTGAGGTTTGCCGGAACCAGCCAGTGCGAGGAGGAAGGACTTAGGGTCCCTGTGCATTAGGAAAGGCCACTTCCTGGGAACACCTTCCTCATTCAGGACTCCATCCTGAGTCATCTGCCTGAGAGCTCCAAGTGGCTCACCCAGGAAGCAGCCCTCCTCAGAATGTTAGAGGATTAACTCAGTGCTCACCTCACCTATCACCTGGCTCTTGGCTCATTTGTCTGCCCCTCCCCCCCAACTCTATCAGAAACTTACCATCTCCAGCAATCCTGGACCACACCCACAAGATTCCAGCCCTGGACCCTATAAGGTCTCAGCCCTTACCTGCCCCACTCCCCACCAAGTGCTGAAATCCTTCATGGTCCCCACCAATCTTCCTGAACACACCTTGGGAGGGTACCAAGGAAGGAGACATGGTAGGGCAAGCTCAGAAATAGCAGAGTTTTGGAGGTCTGCCCATGCAACTCAGGCTGCATTTATCATCAGGTTACAAGGGTTAAGTCAACAGCCTTCAAGTCCCTGCATTCCTGGGGGCGGGGGCTCAGGGAAGGGAGAGGAAATGGCGAAAGGGTCTGCTAAAAAAAATTTTTTTTTTCAGTCGGGCATGGTGGCGTATGCCTTTAATCCCAGCACTCAGGAGGCAGAGGCAGGCAGATCTTTGTAAGTTGGAGGCCAGCCTGGTCTACATAGTGAGTTCCAGCTGGGGCTACAAGGAGACCCTGTCTCAAAAAGACCAAAAAAAAAATATTTTTTTTCAGGTTGAGGTTATTACTAGCTGGTATAGTATTTGCTTACGTCATATGCAGAGGTCCTGGATTCAATTCCCAGTACTGCCAAAAAGAAAAAATAATTTTTTGAGACAGGGTTTTACTATGTAGCCCTGACTGTCATGGAATTCACTGAGCCTTCAACTCAGAGATCTGTCTGCCTCTGTTTTCCAAGTGCTGGGATTAAAAGCTTTCACCACCATATGTGGTAAAAATACTTTTTTAAAAGAAAGGTAAAGGGCTAGAGAGATGGCTCAGTGGTTAAGAGCACTGACTGCTCTTGTAGAGGACTCAGGTTCGATTCCCAGCACCCACATGGTGGCTAATCGCCTGTGACTCCAGTTCCAGGGGAATCTGATGCTCTCTAATCTCTGCAAGCATTGCATGACATGGGTACACTTACATACATGAAGGCAATACACTCATACACATAAAAATAATAAAATATATTAAAAAACAACTTGGGGGCTGGAGAGATGGCTCAGCGGTTATGAGCACTGACTGCTCTTGCAGAGGACCTGGGTTCAATTCCCAGCACCCACATTGCGGCTATGAACCGTCCTTAACTCCAGTTCCAGGGGAATCCGACGCCCTCTTCTGACCTCTGAGGCACTGCACGACATGGGTGTACTCACATACAGGCACACTCATACACATAAAAAAAAAAAAAACCCTAATCTCTTCTAAGTATATATTTTCCCTGATTTATAATATTCTGACTCATGATTTTTTTGATTTTATGATGGTGCAAAAGTCTGATACATTCAGAAGAAACTACCTTGAAGTTTGATCTTTTCCCTCAATATTCATAACCACATGGTCTTTGAGATGTAGGACAGTGGCAGCAAACTGCCCAGAAGGGTAAACAAGTAAGCCCTGATGCTCAGTGGGTTATGTGTGTTGAATGCACCTTTGATTGAGCAATATTTTCAACTTACCATGGGATTTCCAGACATAACCCCAGTGTAAGTCAATGAACATATTGCATGGGTCTTAAGAGAGTCAGTAGGAGAGGGGGATAGGGAATAGAAGTTGATTGTTCTTCTTGTGTGTGTCTGTATGCATAGGAGAGAGGGGAGAGAGAGAGAGAGAGAGAGAGAGAGAGAGAGAGAGAGAGAGTATTCCTGATTGACTCAGAATTTGCTTTGTAGAACAGCTTGACCTCAAACTCACAAAGATCTACCTGCCTCTGCCTCCTGAGTGCCAGGATTAAAGGTATGTGCCACCACACCTGGCCTGTAGTTTGTCCTTGATTTATGTAGCACTACAAGATTCACATGTAAGCAAAAATCCATAGGCTGTCCACACTGGGCATGGTGCCTTTAATCCCAGCACTTGGGAGGTAGAGGCAGGTGGACTATGAGTTCAAGGTCAGGGTGGTCTACATAGTGAATTCCAGGGGTCAGCTAAGGCTATAAGGAGACCCTATCTCAACTCTCCCCCTAAAAAAAGAAAAAAAAAAAAAAAACCACCATAAGCTGTCCACTTAAAATGTGTAAATGCATGTAATTAAACCTAAAAATTAAACTCTAAATAATAATAAAAGTTTTAGTCTATTCCCTGCTTCCTTACATGCATGTAACTAAACCTTAAAATTGAACTCTAAATAATAATAAAAGTTTTAGCCTCTTCCCTGTGTCCTGTTCCTATTATTCTTACCCATGGTGTGCCTGTTTCTATGGGGCACAATAACTATATTATCTGCTGTTTATTTGTGAGTCGTATGTCCTATAGGGACAGGAACTCTATCTTGCCAGGTGTCACTTGCAGAGTATAATACAGTACCTGTTACATGACAGATATTGAGGCAGTGAATAGATGGATAAATGAATCAAAAAGCTTGGATATAATGATTTAAAAAAAAAAAAGCAGCAGCAGAGGAGGCCAGTCTTGGGATACAGACTGCCGGCCCCCATCCTCCAGTTCAGGGGTCTTCCTCCATGAGCACCCATCCAGAATGTCAGTCCCTGCCTGGAGGCTGGACTCCAGCTTGTCTACACCTCATTGGGGTCATTTTGGTCAGCATAGATGAGGAAGCCGGTGAAGAGGCTGTCAGTCCAGTAAGGGTCGTAAAAGAGTCCATTCTGTTCTGAGTAGAAGATCTGCAGCCAGACCTCGTCGCCCTCCTTGAGAGCCAGGATGGTGGAACCTGAGGCCACGTCATGGTTGCCAGTGTTGGCATCAAAGGTCCGGATGCGGTACTGGCCGTTGTGCACCAGGCCGATGGCCAGGTGCTTGTTGGCCAGCGTGATGTCATAGGTGAAGTAGTAGATTCCCGGCACGCTGCAAACAAACTTGCCACTGGACGCATTGTAGTGGCCACCCTCGTTCATCAGAATCTTGTCAAATTTGATGGGCATTCGCTCTCTGGGGTAGCTCTTGGTCACCGCCACTGAGAAGGCTGACTTGGCACGGCCCCTGCCACAGCTGCAGGGGCCTGGGAGGCCAGGCTCCCCCTTCTTGCCCTTAGGCCCCTTCTTACCTGGTATGCCATGCTTCCCTGGGGTACCACTGACCCCCTTGGGTCCACGAGGCCCAGCTTGCCCAATGGCCCCAGGTTTGCCTTTTGGTCCTTGTTTTCCACGGTTACCTGTCCGGCCAGGTGGACCTGGAAGACAGAGCAGCTGATGTTATAAGGGACCTGCAAAGGTCTAGGGAAAGGCTTCCTTGGAGCAGGAACCCATGGCTGGAAAGAATGCCATGGCCTTGGAGCACAGGAAGGGGCAAATGCTGACGGTACCACCAGTGGCACTTTTCTCTATCTTGTCAGGAAAAGGGCGAGGAAACCTTTCAGAAACACTGGGAATCAGGGCAAAGGAGTAACTCATTGGACTGGGGATGTAGCTCTCTTGGTAGAGTGCTTGCCTAGTATGTATGCGTTTCTGGGTTTAATCCCTGACACCCATAAAACCAGGTTTGGTAGCATACTCCTATAATCCTAGCATGGGGCTGGGGAGGGGATCAGGAATTAAACAAAAAAGACTGAGGGGTCTGAGCTGTAGCTCAGTGGTAAAGCACTTGCCTCACATGTATGAGGCCCACAGTTCAATCTTCAGTAGTACTGCAAAAAATAAAACACAGGATAAATCACAATGCCTCACACCCTTTCTTTTCTTGTCTTCTTATTAAGAATTTGGTTTGCCTGAAGATCAATGCTTCAACAGGCTGCTCTGGGGACGGGGTGAGGGTTGAGAAGAGAATTGCAAAATGCCTTTTGACTTAAAAACATTGACTGGTAAAATCCCTGCCTTACACACACAGGCACAAGAAGCCTGCTCACAGACACAAAGGTTTAACTGTAGCTCTGCTTAGAACACCAAAAACCCATCCAAAGGAGAATTATTAGAAAATCATCATCCGTGTATGGAAATCTACATAGGCATTAAAAACAACAAAAACTGCACCTTTAATCCTAGCACTCAGGAAGCAGAGGCAGGTGAATCTCTCTGAGTCTGAGGCCATCTTGGTCTATATAGTGAGTGCCAGGCCAGCCAGGGCTGCATAGTGAGACCCTGTCTCAAAAAACCCAAATCAAAACAAACAAGAGTAACTACTATTAAAAACAACAACAGCAAAAACAAAAAAAACAAACAAAAAAACTAGGGCCTGGAGAGATGGCTCAGTGGTTAGGAGCACTGACTGCTCTTACAGAGGACCTGGGTTCAACTCCCAGCACCCACTTGGCAGCTAACAACAGTCCATAACTCCAGTTCCAGGGGATCTGATGCCTTCTGACCTCTGTGGCCACTGCACGACGTGGGTACACTTACATGCATGCAGGCAATACATTCATACATATAAAATGAAAATAATAAATGAAATATTTTTTAAAACTAACAAAAACTAAAACTGAGACTCTGCCTGGTGTGGTGCTGGGTGTTATACTTCTGTAATCACAGCACTTTGGAGGCTGAGGCGGGAGAATGGTGAGTTTCAGGACAGCCTTGGCTACATAGTGAGACTCAGTCTCAAAGAAGAAAAAAAAGGAAGAGGTAGATTCACATGCCTATATAGGAGACAGCTGTAAATAAACGAGGAGGAAACAGGAGGTGTGGCGCAGGAAAACCCACCACATCTTTGTGTTCTTTTAGCGCATATGACAGTGCCTGGCAAACACCGGCCAAATATTAAACATCAGCTGGCAAACCCTGCAGAACATCCCCAAATTCCCAGAGAACATGTCTTGCTTTTTAATATTGATATTTCATAAAATATACATTGCCCTATAAACAGAATTTGAAGCCAATGATTACATAGAAACATTTATATAGTTTTTATTTTTATTTTATGTGTATTTGTAGGTTTTGGGGGGGGGGATCTTTTTGAGACAGGGTCTCTCTGTAGCCTCCACTGACCTGAACTCCCTATGTAGACCAGGCTGGTCTCGAACTCTCAAAGATCCACCTGCCTCTACCTCCTGAGTGCTGGGATTAAAGGCATGTGCCACCATGCTTGGGTCCTCAACAATAACAAAAATATATGGAAAAGTGCATAAGTTCCAGCTTAATACAATTGTGCAATTGGCAGAATGGCAAGATTGAGTGGAAAGTTATGGGGAGTTGTGCTAGATGTCCATCAAGGGTCTTACTCCTGAGAGGCATCAGTGCCAAGGAGCATCTGAGCATCACCAGACACACGGCAACTGGGGGTTACATACATGGAAGTGGATGCCCAGCACCCAAGGAAACATTTTAGACGTTTCATGTGCTGACAAGGAACTTTCTTTCTTCTATGTGCGTATGTAGGTGTTTGCTGTGTGATGGTTAATCTAGGCTGTCTCTCCGTCTCTGCCTCTCAATTGCGCCTTCCTTTGCAAACACTTGATCCCTGGCAGGAGAAAAGAGCCAGAAAAGCCCTGGCCTGTACCCTCTCTGCTCCTGATCAAGGGGAAAGGTTGAGAGTAGAGACCTTCTCCCACAGGATCATGGTACATCTCCAGAATGGCTCTGGCAGGTCTTGATTAGTGCACAGGCCCACGCAGAACTCTACCACAGGTGTAAGAGAATGTGTGACACTGGGATTCACAGCTCCTGGCCCCCTGCAGGACCTCCTCAGGTCCAAGCACACCCACTGTCAGAGTTCTCCTGGAAAGAAGGGGTTTTGGAGCATTAGTTTTGTGTGGTAGGAAAGACCCTGGATTTGGAGTCTAAGTGCAGCAGGGATGACTAACAACTGTATACTGACTCCAGGACTGGTGCTTCATACACCTCATCCTCACCCCACTCTGGTGAGGCAGGTGCTGTTGGTACCACTGTTGTGGAGACAAGGAAGCTGAGGTTTGGGGAGAGGAGAAAATAAATATCTGAGGTTGGTTGTTTTCAGAGTTCGAGCTCTTGCAACAGACACACTTAACCTTTCTATCTTGACTCAGTCTCCTCATTTGACACTTGGGATAATGAGGGCATTTGTTTTACAGGATGGTATTAGGTGTCAATGAACAACTTACTTAAAATGCTTTGTCAAGAGATGAAATGCCACATAAGTAAAAGCTATAGTAGGACTGGCAGGATGGAACATGTGATTAACATGCACAAGGCCCTGGTACTGAGAACAGAAAGCTACTGTGATTTCCATACATTTCAGATGTACATGTGAGGATGCCGACATCACAAAGAGCAGGGATGAGAGACAGCTCGAAGGAAGGTCAAATGGAAGGAGCCTACAGACAATATTCAATCTGTTTACTCCATCTGGCACACTGTCCTTGGGAAACTACCCTTCACCATTTTATGGGGTTGCAGTGGGGCTGTGAACTAGAATGATCAAGTGCCATCGCTACCCACTCACAAACACCCCAGGAAGCACATGTCCCAACCCTGGCAAATGGTGCTACCACACGTCCTTGGTTAAAGGATGTGGACAAAGCCACATGGATAGAGACCTGAACCCACCAGGTTCCATTTCAGAATGTGCAGTTTTCATGAGGCTAAAACTAATACACAGAGAGAAGCAGAGCCCAGGCGAAAATATTTAACTCCTGGACCAAAGCATTCCTGCAGCTCAGCTCTTGGTCTTCCCAATTTCATGAGCCAATTAATTACATTAGGGGCTGTACATTGGGTTGCTGCTACTTACAAACCAAGAGTTTCAAATAACATTCCAGGAGACTTGCTTCAAAATCACTTAGCAATTCAAAGGCTAGCTGAGGCAGGAACATATGATTTGATGTTCTCCATCTACTCTCTCCATTCAGAATACATCATTCAATTTATAAAGAGACAGTAATTTGGTTTATCAAGAAAGGGATTAGTACTACTTTTAGTAGCTCAGAAACCCCCTCTGTGCCAGATGCTGTCAATGCTGGGTGGGAAAGGAAGGGCAGGGGTGGGTCTCTTACCTTCTTCTCCACTGTCCCCCCGGTCTCCATCCTGGCCATCTTGGCCATCTTTACCAGGAAATCCCATTCTTCCCATCATTCCTGAGGGCCCTGGCATTCCTGGAGGGCCGGGTGGACCCTGGGGCCCAGGCAAGCTGCAGACGAGCTGAGGGCTGCCCTTCTGGGTGTCCCTGCGAGCAAAGGCTCCAAGCAAGGGGTCAGCAGCGCAAGGGAGGGCACAAGCCAAGAGCACCCAGGGGATCATGGTCACCTGTGGGTGGCAAGAGAAAAGTGGCAGGTGATAATGGCCATGGTGCTGACCACTGGCCAGAGGAGGAGGTGCAGATGGAACTGAATTTCTGTCCTCTCTTTCCTGCACCACAGACAAGTAGGCAGTGTCACTCTCTCTTAAGGGTGTACCTGGATGAGCTGAACCTTGTGCCCGGATACATATTGCAGGGCCCTTGGCAGCAAGACATTACCCTCAGCCTGTCATTCATCCAAGTGGCTGAAATGAGGAAAGAACTCACTCTCCCAGACTGAGAGAAATGAAAATGACCTACAGCTTCATTCAGATATGCGAATTGAAAGTTACAGAGGCAGAAATACTCAGGCTGTAGCTAATGGTTTTCAGTTAGGCAGCTTCTCACAGAGACTTGGGGTTGCAAGTGTGGACAGGCGAGGATTCTGAAACAGAGGGAAGGTGACCCCACCTGAGGTTGGCAGCAATTCCCCTCCCAGTGCTTCCGGTGCCCAGGCCCACACTCTATACACACGCCATTGTCACAATACAACGTCATTATGGAACAAGCAGAAGTGAGGGAAAGAAGCTCAGAAAAGCTGGGTGATGGGTCTGGTTAAGTCACATAGCTCTCAGATGGCAGACTGGGGTTTGAGCCAGGCCATGCAGATCCAGAGATTGTGCCCTCCCTCCTGCCCCAGACTGGCCTGTCCTTAAGGCTGGTGGTGACAACAGCATATACCCACCAAAGATCAGGTAGGGTGCAACTAGAGCCCAGAGCAGAAATCAGCAGCTAGCCTGAAACCTGTCAATAAACTGCCTCTGATGCATAGTCATCACCAGTCTCTCTCCCTGGGAGAAAACCAGGATGGAGAACAAACATGTCAGGTGTGACTTCCTGCCATGGGGATAACACTAATTAGTAACTTGCTTTGTGACCCTAGGCTAGCCCCCTTTTCCCTCTGACCTTCAGTTTCCCTACCAGAAAAACAAAGGGTTGGAAGAGAATCAAGGTTTCTAAATCTGAGTGTCCATCAATTAGATTTGTTGGGTGGAGGGATTAGTAAAATATAGATGTTTGGGTCTCATCACTTAAGTTTCTGCCTCATTAGTTCACTGGTGAGGCTAGATAATTTGCATTTCCAGTAAGTTTCTAAGTGATGCTGCTGATGGTCAGAGGTCCAGTTTCCGACTGGACTCGACGTTCTCAAAGGTCCCATTCAGCTCTGATGCTATGTCAGTCTTTCCTTCTCCAGCCTTCTTTCTCTCTCTGAATATGAAGTGTGGCTGGCTTCAGTGTTCCCCTCTGGCTACATCATCAGAGCCCCAGTGGGGATTCATGGGCAGCTGGGAGCTGGAGACAGGACAGGGACATTGCTCAAACCTTGGAGCTCAGAGCTCCTTCTAAGGACCTCCGTCTCCCTCTGTGCCCCGCCTTGCTGACAACTGCCCAGGCTTTTGGGTTGCCTTTGGCTGTTTCCCTTGGAACCAGCTGGTCCCTCCTCAACTCCTGGTCCAATCGAGGACAGGATTTATTTTTTTCAGTACTAGGGGTGGAACCCAGGGCCTCACTCACACTAGGTAAGTGCTCTCCTATTAATCCACACCCCAACTCTCTTCTTACTTTTTATTTTGAGACAAGGTCTCACTAAGTTACTCAGGCTAGCTTTCGACTCACTCTGTAGCTCAAGCAGGTCCTGAACTTGTGATGCTTTTGCCTCAGCCTCTGAATTGCTTGAATAACAGTCCTGGACCATCAGGTCCAGCTGGGGAAGGATCTTTCACAGCTAGAAACAAATAAAGTTACAGAATACCAGGCCTCTACTACCTTGGAGTGCTGGGGAGACTGATGCACTATATTGCTTGGCACTCAGGGTCTACTACAGTTCTAGCTCCGATGGTCACTAATGGTGTGGTTTTGGGCAAGCCACTGTCTTCTCCTGCACCTCAGCGATTCCCTTGATAAGCATCACAGAGATGTTACTGGTCAGATAGACACAATCTAGTCATTACCAAACACTCCTTTGAATACAGTTGCATCATATGGTAACAGAGCTAGGTTTTTCTCAAATGTCTTCAATTCTAATTAAGGCAGGGGAAAAATTCTCAGCTTGGTGACTGTGGGAGACAGGCTTGAGCCTAGAGTGGAAGTCCTAATGACAGCCATACAGCAGGCCTGAGGCAATGGCCTGACCGCTGGAGCCACGAGGAACGCCTTGTGATTATCGCTCCATTTGGCAGGTCATAGGACTGATGCTTAAGGCTCGCCACTCCCTAGTCGCCACCCCTTGAAATTCCAGGTTGCGGTTTATCTACAGCTTGCAGTATGTGGGCATAACAACAGCCATGGTTACATGATTTACCGGAACCTGGGCTGCCCTTATATGGCATAGTCGTTGTATCCCTGTCTGATTGGTCCAGGGACCCTATATAAGCTTGTAAATTCCTCAGTATAATAGATCTGCATCACTGAACCTGGTCTCCTGTGTCTGAATGCGGCTCCACTGACACAGTCTTCTCACCAGCCCTGAGGTCCGGGATTAGGGAGCTGCGGCGATGACCATGAAGGCGGACCGGCTGGCCACAGGTGACAATGTGTCTTTTGTGTCTCTATGCCCTTTTCTAATGTCTCTTTCTATCAACTAGTGCAGCCATTTGTAGCAGTGTGCCTCTACTCCTTTCTCACAACAGTTCATTTATTCAGTAGGGTTTTGTTGCTATTGAGACAAGGTTTCATGTAACCCAGGCTGGCACTGAATTCACTCAGTAGCTGAAGATGACCTTTGAACTCTTGGTTCTGTTGCTTCCACTTCCCAAGTGCTGAGACTGCAAGTGAGAACCACTGTGCCCTGTTTATATAAGGGCTTTGCACATGCTAGGCAAGTACTCTGCCAACGGAGCTACACCCCCAGCCTTTATTCAGTACGTTATTTACTGAGGGTCTATCACATCACCAAATGACAGACACATTCTTTGAGAATAGAACTGTAAACCATGGAGTCAAAAATTCCTCTTGGATTTTAAAGGTTAGCCAAACAACAACCAGGGACTGGAGAGATGGCTGAGCAGTTAAGAGCACTGGTTTTAAAGGTTAGCCTGGTCTACATCGTGAGTTCTAGGCCAGTTGGGGCTACAGGGAGACCCTCTCCCCAAAAGACAAAAAAAACCAAAAAAGCTTAGAAAGACAATACATACATACATATATATATACATATATACACACACATACACACATACATACATATATATATATACATATATACACACACATACTATGTAGACTAGGTTGGTCTTGAATTCACAAAGATTCACCAGCTCTGCCTCCTGAGTGCTGGAATAAAAACATAAACAAAGTTTTTAGTATGCATATCTATCTATCCTGTCTCTTTCTCTCTCTCTCTCTCTCTCTCTCCTCTCTCTCTCAACTTTATGGAACCCATTCTCTCCTTCCATCTTTACATGGGTTCCAGGGAATTGAACTCAGGTTGTTGGGCTGTGTAACAAGCACCTTCACCTCCTGAGCCACCTCAATGGCTGAGCTACATTCACATCCCATACTCGCTGCCACATTATTCACAGAAGCTAAGCTATGGGTAGATAATTCAAGTGTCTATTCGATGTAGGTAAATAACAGGACTATCTTAGCAACCCAGGACTCCACTTGGTTTATGTTGTACACACACCCCTCTCCTAACAATACACGTAGTAACCTAGGACCTGCGCCTGAACTGAGCTCCACACCCCACTCCAATAGAATAAGTTTCTCCATTCCTCAGCCATCAATAGCTCCCCTTTCACCGACAGTTTCTATTCAAACATATTCCCAGATAGATCTAGGATCAAGAGTCAAGGGACCAGTCTAGCCTGGATTGGTTCAAAATACATGTGCAATAAGACAACTGTGTCCTCTGAGTGAACCTTTAGGGAAAACCCTCCTATTTTCCAGTTTATGTCTATTTATAATCAGGCATGCTTTGGATTAAAACCAGATGCATCTACAACCCGAATCTGCCAATCAGAGAACCAGTCTCATAAGGTCTGTTAATGACCAGCTCCTCCTTCTTTTAGATCTCATAAAATGCACCCCCAAATAACAGCCAGGCCCTCCGGTGCTTTCTCACTCAGCGCCCTGTCATGGCAGTGTATCTAAAACTTGTACTTCCACTTTGCTCTTATTAAAAGGGTCTTGTTGGTTTACTTTTTGTATGCCTTTTCCAACTCTTTGAACAAGATGTCAAGAACTGGGAAACACCTGGTCCAGTCAGCCATCCCTGGAACACATCGCCCACTGACGGATACACAGATAAGGAAAATATGGTGTACACACATCAGGAAATCTTGCCATTTGTAATAACGTGGATGAGCCCGGAGGACATCATGCTGAGTGAAATAAGCCAGTTACAGAAGGAAAACACTGTGTGATAGTACATATATGAGGCATTTATAACAGTCAAATGTTTAGACGCAGAGAAGGGAATCCATATTTTTCACTGGGGGTCAAGGAGGACCTCCCTCTAAAGGCAAACTGTGAGGAATTGGAATGCCCAGTGAGGTGGATGCTCATGATCTGTGAAAAACACTTCCCAACAGGAGCGCTCCTGAGTCCCCATGGCGTAGGCGATGCTAGTTTGATTCTATCTCTTGTGTCACACTGTACTTGCTCAGCATATTAAATAACAGTTGAGGTGGCAGGTGGGGTTGGCAACTCATGGAAGTATTGTGCCAATGACAGATGCTTCTGGAAACCAGCCCAGACACTCCTCAGGTCTCTTTCCCCTTCCTGCTTGAGATAAGAGCTGTAGAAAACTAGCTGGTGTAATTTGTTTTTTTTTTTTTTCCTCAGTGCTGGGAGTTGGATCCTGGGCCTTGTGCATGCTGGGTAAGTGCTCTGACAGCAAGCTACATCTCTACCCCTGTTACTTGGGAGCTACAGCACACCCAGGCCTTCCAGAATAGAAAATGAATTTTCCAGGCAGTTTTGAAATGATCTGGAAAACTGTGACCCACAAACTCAGACTAGAAAGGGAGGGAGGGAGGAAAATAGTGGGAGTCACCTTTGCCAGCAAGATAATAATCCTGGGAACAGCTAAAGTGGCAGGACAGAGACAACTAGATGGGGGGAGGGGCGCACATCTGTCACAGTTTAGGCTCCGCCCTCTTCTGCTCTCAAGTTCAGACACAAGCCCCTCAGAGGGAGGATGCTTGCTCTCTGTAGCCTGGTCTACTCTGGACAGAGGGGTCAGTGACTTCTCAGTGACAGCTGGCTGCAGCAGGCCCCAGCACCTAAGGGGTGGCGCTGCCCTAGGACAAACCCTGGGAGTTTTTCTTTCAGAGTTGGAGCCTGGAGGTTCCTGTGGGCCAAGAGGAGTTCCTGCAGCTGGAGCCAGGAACTGATTTGGAAAGAAAGGCAGGCAAATAGGTTTGCTTCCAAACCTGGAGGGAGAGGAGACTCTCTTTGCCTCCAGGGCACCACCAACAACAACAAAAAACTCTAAATAGCCCAGCTCCAGCCTGTGCTCCACCCTCAGCCTACCGCCTACATCCTGGCCCTGGTAAGAAAATGGGCTGGGGTGAGCATCTTAAGGGGAGCATGACCCCAAGGTATCTAGACAGGGTCTTTCACATAAATGTAGAGCCCAACACTTGGGGAGGGGGCTAGAGAGATGGCTCAGCATTTAAGAGCACTGGCTGTTCTTGCAGAGGACCCAGACTTGGTTCCCACCACCCACATGGCAGCTGACAACTGTCTACAACTCCAGTTCCAGGGGATCCTATGCCCTCCTCTGGCCCCTGTGATTGCACACACGGGTGCACTTACCTACATGTAGATAAAATACATAAAAATAAAATACATATAAAAATAAAACATAGCCAGGTGTGGTGGGGCATGCCTTTAATCTCTGTGAGTTCAAGGCCACTCTGGTCTACACAGTGAGTTCCAGGACAGCTGGGGCTAGAAAGAGACCCTGTCTCAGAAAGACCCCCCCAAATATATATAAAACAAAGTCTATATCCTTTGGTTCTTAAAAAGGCAAATCTAAAGAAAATAAATCTCTGTGAGTTCACGGCCAGCTTGGTCTACATAGTGAGTTCCAGGACAGCTGGGGCTACAGGGAGACCCTGTCTCAAAAAGAACAGGAAAAATAAAATAAAATAAAACATAAAATCTTGGGGATGGCCTCTGGAACCATCAAATTCATCCCCTTCAGTTACAGACAGGGAAACTGTACAGAGGCAGGAGGATCAGGAGTTCAAAAGTAACTTTACTTTTATTTTTTAAATTATTTGTTTTTATTTTATGTGTATGAGTATTTTGCCTGCATGTATGTAAGTGCACCCATGCATGCAGTGCCTGTAGAGCCAGAATTGGAGCTACAAACCATTGTTACTTGCCATGTGGTTGCTGGGAACTGAACCCCAGTGCTCTTAACTGCTGAGCCATCTCTCCAGTCCTAGGAAAACTGACTTTATGATCCAGCTCCAATGCTCCAGGCATTGTGTGAAGCTATTTAACTGCATTGTGTTATTGGAAAAACACAACTCTAAGAAGTCAGTGTATTATCACATTTTTCTAAGGAAGAACCCAAGGCTCTAAGAGGGGAACTGATTTACCCAAAGCCACACAACCAGGGAGCAGCCAAGTCCTTACACAGGGGCTCTGGGAACCATGCTTGCTTACACCACATTACCTTACTCCCTTCATCTTCTGTTTTTTTCTCCTGTTTTATAGGAGAGGAAACAGAGATGCAGAGAGACTAATTTTCTTGTATTTACACAACTAGTTGGCAGCAGAAATTATAATTGAACTTGGGCTTGGCCACCCCTAATATCCAAATGCTTTCCATTATGTCAGCATTTCTTAGATTTTTTTCCTTCCAAACATCCCACATTACAGAAGAGACCTCAAAGCACATGCCAGAGCCACACACAGCATTTCTTTGATATGCTGTATTTTATTTTACAATTTTCTACACACGTACATGCATGACTCTGAAAATGTCAAAGTGATATTTTTGTTTTCTCAGGATACTTGTGTAATTAGATACTTGAGGAAAACCTCCTGTCCTCTGGACGTGATGGCACACACCTGTAATCACAGCACTCAAGAGGTAGAGGCAGGAGGATCAGGAGTTCAAAGTCATCCTCAGCTACATAGTGAGTTCAAGATCAGCTTGGGCTACAAGAGGCCCTTCTTACACACACACACACACACACACACACACACACACACACACGAAAGGTCTATGCTACAAAAGATAGGAGCCTCTTGGGTCTTGACCCCCTACCACAAACCTCTCTGGGGTATTCCTGGCAGGGGTCCTGGGATCCAAGCTAGGAGATCAGGGTGCAGGCATGCTAAGTACACCCCATGACCCATTATGCACCTCTTCTTGCACCTTCAATAGCCTCCTTCCTGTTCTTGCTCCACGGCTCCCAACCTCTTGTACTCTCCATGCCGCAGTCAAGAGTTTAAAGCCATCAATCAGCCACCTCATTCCCTAAGATGCTCCAGTAGCTGCTGGCTGGGAGTCATAACACAGGAACCCTGACAGGGCTCACAAGACCCTAGATGACCTGGCCTCAGCCTCACCCTGGCCGCTGTTCCTCCCTCCATCCCTCCCCTTGTTCCTGGCCAGCTGCAGGACCTCCACCAGGCCAAGCTACAGCTGCTCTGCCAGCAACCCAGCAGCTCCACCCTAGGCGTGCACGGCAGCCTGAATGTGCTTTTTCCAGGTCTTCCCTGGCGACCTCTTTACGGCAGCTCTCCTTGCAGTACCAGCTCTTCGTTTCTTTCCTGGCTGGTGTTTACTTTGTTATCTTTCCCACACATAAATCTACTGAGTGCAGATTCCAGCTGGCTACCTGGCTTCAAACTTCCAGACATACACAGGTATTTAAGAAATAGCTGCTCTGGAGCTGGAGAGATGGCTCAGAGGTTAAGAGCACTTGCTGCTCTTCCAAAGGCCCCAAGTTCAGTTCCTAGCACCCACATTGGGCAGCTCACAACCACCAATAACTCCAGCTCCAGGGACTCTAATGCCCTCTTCTGGTCTCCACAGGCACCTACACACATAGACACAGACACACTTTTCAGCTGGCCTAAAACTTGCTATGTAGACCAGGTTGGCCTCAGTCTCAGAGATTTGCCTGCCTCTGCTTCCTGGTGAGATGCACATTCTTAAAAGTAAAGTTAAATCTTTAGAAAAAAAATAATAAGGCAGGCATGGTGATGCAGGCCTTTAATCTTGGCACTAGAAAGGCAGAGGCAGGCAGATCTTTGGGAGTTGAAAGTCATACTCATCTATACAGGGAGTTCCAGGTCAGCCAGGGCTACATAGTGAGACCCTATTTCAAAAACAACAGACAGAATAGCTGCTTAATTAACAAATGTTTGAGAATCAGAAAGTCTACAGCAGAGTGAAAATGAGGTCTAAGTGCAGAAGTGCCTGGACACCACTAGTTCAAACAACTGCTCTCTCCTGTCAGGTTTTCTTATCCAACCCAGACAGAAATCCTCCTTCTTTAGATATCTTAGACACAGGTCTGTGTTTTTCTGTCCCTGTCCCCTGAGGCTGGCTTGCAGAACACCTTCACAAAGAGAAGTTCAAATGGACAGAAAAAGGGTAACCATCATTAACCACCCCCCTTACCTTTTTAAAAACTGTCATCTAAATTGTCCTTTCAGTGTGTGGGTTGAGAGGGAAGGCTTCATCAAGTCTTCTTGCTAAAGGGAGGGAAAAAAGATAGTTAAATCCCAGAAATAGAATCATGAGGTGTTAAACCTGAATGTGTTCTGAAGTTTAGTTTTAATAACTGCCCAGTCCTTGCCTCTTTGGAAAGTAGCGAGTAGTTTATGAATATGCAAGTTCCAGGAAAGTCCTTGGAGCCCAGCCTGGGTGCCTGCCTGCATTCCGCTACAGGGGAAGAACTTTACTCCTCTGTACAATACAGGACACAGCCTCTGGTTCATTCCTGAGGACCTTCTGCCTGGACTGTGACATGAAGAAGGGTCACAGGTGAGGACATTGACCTTTCATGAATTTTTCTGGAATATGGTTTACCTCTAGTAAGGCTGCAAAGCCAGGGCACTGACCAATCTCACTTCAGAGATCTGAAGATAGATACTCGAATAGCTGTTTTACTTAAAGTTTAAAACAATGCTTAGTTCGGTGGTTAAGAGCCATGGGAACCTGCGCATTTGTTTCCTTTTCTATCTCCTGGACATAATGGCATTCTTAGCCCACAGAGTCTGTGTGAGGAATGAGATTACACCTCCAAACATCTAGCCCAGAGGCTGGCACACTAAACACACCACAGTTAGCCAGAAGCCTACCTCCATCCTAACCTCCTGCTGAGAACCCTTCTCAGCTGTCCTCCTCATCCTCACACTCAAGGCTTAATCTCATCTCCTTGGAGAGGCTGCCTTGAGCCCACAGTCTAAAGCATCTGGCCCATGATGCTCTGTCCTGCCTTTCAAAGCACTTGACCCGATTTATAGTTATGTATTTGCATGTTTCCTGACTTCTAAGCTGCCTGTCTCTCTTCTTCCCAGGGAGATCTGGTGAGGTGGGGGCCTTGTCTGTTGCCCTCTTGCACCACTAGATGTGCTCAACACATAGCTCTTGAGCATCCTTGAATGCAATGATCACTCACAATCCATAAAATACCAATAAGATAAGCCAGGCGTGGTGGTGCACGCCTATAGTCCCAGCACCTGGGTGACAGAGGCAGGAGGATTTCTGTGAGTTCAAGACCAGCCTGGTCTACAGTGAGTTCCAGGACAGCTGGGGCTACAGGGAGACCCTGCTTCAAAAAGACAAACAAATACCAACAAGATTTGATACATTTGTGGTTTACAAAGCCACACTTGAGTACTGAGGAGAATGTGGAGAACTGGTCTTGGGATCAGAAGATCTAAAAGCAAGTTCTAGTTTTCTAAATCAGTGGTCATGAGACCATGGAAATGTCATTTGTCTTATTTGAACCTCAATCTCCTCACCTGTGAAATGGGGCAATAATACTTGCTTAGTCTGCCTTGTAGGCTCTTCTGAGACTTGAACTAGGTAAGGAAGACAAACATCCCACAGAGTCTGGCTCAACCTTGCAACTGCCACTTGCAGTTGAACTGAGGATTACAGTCCTCACCTCTCACCAGGAGCCCTGGGGTGTTTCAGGGTAATACCTTCCCTCATCCTGGGTGGAAGAGGACCCCTGAATCTGACCCAACAGGGCAAAATCACTCCATGTGTAGAGTTAGAAAAGGACAAGGCTGGTGACTGGAGTAAGAGAAAGCCTGCTTGCAAATAAAGCCCACTGCAAATCCTCTCTGAAGGGAATGAAAATTCTTTAATGGAAAACACCCAATCCTCCCAAATTCCAGGAAGCAGAGTGGAAGCAGCCCTCTCCAGTTTCTCTGAAGCTTGGAGGTGGCCTGGAGGAGATGGGCTGGCTACAGCCCCCTACAGAACTTTCTGGAATCTCTTTCCTAGGAGCTCAAGTTCAGGGCCCTGAGGTGTCCAGAGCACAAAGAGGATTCAAAGGCAAATGCAGAGACTTAAAAACAGGGGCTCTCCTGCTGGGAGATTTTTCCCCATCTCTTTCTCTCTCCTCATTCTTGGCTCAGCCTAGAAAAAGAGGTCCAAGGATAAATTATGACCTAACAAGAGGACTCTGAGGCCAGGATCTGGCCTGCCTTGTCTCAGCAAGCATTCCCAAAGGCAGGGGAAGTCAGCCTTGGAGTTACCAGTGAAGACTTCTTCTTTCCTATACATATACCCCCAAACTTTTGATATCAACAAACATAACAGTCAATGTGTTGGGCAGTACAGGTCAACCCTCTGACCCAGGCTGCTCAAGTCTGAGCCTCCACTGAAGAATAGGGAACAGGGGTGTGGCAGGGCGAGCCAAGCTCTGGGCTGACTGAAGTGGAAGCCATCAAACTATGCCTTGCCCGTGGCTGTTGCGCCATGTGGAGGGACCAAGGAGGGCATGAGGGAGAAGGATGGAGCTGCTAAGCAAATGTGAGGGGTAGGCAAAGAGGAGGGTGTTTGTTTCCTGTTTCCACTTCTCCTGAGGGCCAACCTCAGCATGGCAGACCAGTGTGGTGGGGAGAGTAACTGGGCAGCACTGTCCAATAGGAAAAGGGCGAAAGCCACATATGTCCTTTTTTTCATTTATTTTATTTTGTTTTAGGTTATGTAATTGAGGCCCCGGCTGCCCTGGATTTCTCTATGTAGACCACGCTGGCCCCAGTCTCACAGAGATTCGCCTGCCTCTGCCTGACGTGTCATTTTAAATGATCCAACAGCCACATTAAAAAAGTAAAAAGAGAGCCCGGCGTGGTGGTGCATACCTTTAATCCCAGTACTTGGGGGGCAGAGGCAGGTGGATCTCTGTGAGTTCGAGGCCAGCCTTGTCTCCCTAGTCAATCCAGGACAGCTGGAGCAACAGGGAGACCCTGTCTCAAAAACACCAAAAAAAAAAACCAAATTAAAAAGAGAAGCTGGGTTTGGTGGCACACGCCTTTAATGCCAGCACTCGGGAGACAGAGGCAGGCAGATCGTCATGAGTTCAAGGCCAGCCTGGTCTACATAGTGAGTTCAGGTCGGCTGGGACTACAGGAAGACCCTGTCTCTAAAAGCCAAAAAAAAAAAATGTAAAAAGAGGTGACTGGAGAGATGGCTCAGCAGTTAAGAACACTGGCTGTTCTTGCAGAAGACCCCGGGTTGAATCCCAGCACCCACATGGCTGCTAACAACTGTCCATAACTCCAGTTTCAGGGGATCCGATGCCCTCTTCTGACCTCCGTGGACAATGCACAACAGGGGTGTACTCACATGCAAGCAATATGCACAAACACATTAAAAAAAAATAGAAAGTAGATGATGTTCCAGTGCTATTTATCCCAATGTATTATGTCATTTAGACATGTAATCGCCATAAAAATCATTTTTAAAATATTTTATTTATTTATGTGCATGGGTGTTTTACCTCCATTATGTAATTACACTTGTGTCGTGCAATGTCTGCAGAGGTCAGAAGAGGACATTGGGTCCCCTGGAGCTGGAGTTACAGATGGTTGTTAGCTGCCATGTGGGTGCTGGGAATCGAACCCAGGTCCTCTGCAAGAGCAGCCAGTGCTCTTAATTCAACCATCTCTCCAGCCCCCTCCATGAAAATCATTAATGTGACATTTTCCAATCTTTAATCAATACTAAGCCTTTGAAACCCAGTGATGTTTTTCACACTTGTAACACATTTTTATTGTTATTATTTTACAGTTATTTATTCATTTGTATATTTATTTGTGTGTGTATGTGTGTGTGTGTACACACCAAAATGTGTCACAGAGCACATGTAGAGGTCAGAGGACAACTTGCAGGCAATTGGTCACTCCTTTTACCATGTGGGTTCTGGGAACTGAACTCAGGTCCTCAGGCTTGGTGGCAAGGGCCTTTACCCACTGAGCCATGTCATCTGCCCATTACAGCATCTCTTGATTCAGACTGTCCATATTCCAAGTATTCAGTAGCTATACAGTGGCCTCTACCAGATTCAGATCTCAGAACTAGCTGAGTGATGGTTATAGTTTGATAGTGCCCCCCCCCAATGTGCAAGTGCTGCAAACTGAATCCCCGTAGTCATATGTGAGTGACATTTGGAGGTGGAGCCTTTGTGAGGTGATTAGACTTAGATGAGGTCATGAAAGTTGGGTCCCATTATGGCATCATGGCTGAAGAAGAAGAAGAGAGACCCAAGCTAGCATATTTGTTCTGTCTTTCCTTGAGATGCCCTTAGGTTTCCTATCCTGTAAAATGGTGAGGTAAATAAACATCTATTCTTAATAAATTACTAAGCCTCAGTTACTTTGTTACAGTAACAGAATATGGACAAAGGCAGACGTTTTGTACACATCACTTTTCTACTCTTCCTCAGTCTCCTACTCACCAAAATGAGGGGAGAAAAATAGCACCTACCTTAAAAGACTGTTATGAGGATTTTATGCTCTAAGAATAAGGCCTCATATTGGGTTAGGGATGCAGCTTGGTGATAAATAAAGCATTTGCCTAGAATAAGGCCTTGTAATGGTCAGAGGTATAAAAACATTAGCTATTATTGTTTTATTATTTTTTGCCCTTCTGAAAAACAAAGAAAAATGATGTGTGTCAAAAGCAATACATGAGACAAAAGACCATATTTGAAATGATGCTTGCCACTGCAGCTGAATTAAAAACCAGTCCTCATCTCTTACCCTAAGTTTTGTGGCATTTCAGATGGGGAACCCTGTATCTTTTGATAAATTCTTCTCTCTTAAGTTAGTCTGATTAATTCTTGTCACTTAAGTTAGCTGATTGTGTTTCTGCCAGTTGTTACTGAATGAGAGCTCTAGTGAGGCTTGACCTGTGCTCCTGCCCCAATGTTTCTGTTTGAGGACAGGATGGATGTTGCTTGGGCCCTGCATCCCTTAGCTACCTGCTGCATTTGTGTTCCATCATATGAAGGTGAGCCTATCAATTAGGGGTTGTGCTTAGCTCATCAAGGGATGGAGTCCAGTGGGTACTGTGCACACCATGGCTCAGCATGTGGGTGCCCAATAAATAGTGGTGATATGATGATGATGATGGGTTTTATTATTATTGCCTTTGAAGCCAGACACTGGCTATACAGAATAGGTTGGCCTTGAACTTGTGATTCTTCTGCTTTTGCTTTTGAAGTGTTGGGATTACAAGTGTGTACCACCATGCCCCACCCCCACATCTCTACTTTTTTAACTTTGAGCATGGTTTCATGAATTGTACACTGACCTGGAACTGTCTACATAGCCAAAGAGGACCTTGAACCGCTGATCCTCCTGACTTTACCACCCAAGTGCTGGGATTATAGGTGTGTGCCACCAGAGCTTTGCACTGTGCTTTTAATTTCTGTTTTGATCATTTTAAATGGATGATTTTTTATTTTAAAAAGGAATTTTCCAAGGCTAGGGAGATGTCTCAGTGGGTGTCCTAGTTTGTTTCTTCATTGCTGTGACAAAATACTCTGACCAACACCAACTTGGGGAGGAAAGGGTTTATTTAGCTCATGTCTCCCAGGTCACAGTTCATCAGGGAGCCCAGAAACCTGGAGGCAGGAGCTGGAGCACAGGCCATGGAGGATCGCTGCTTACTGACCGGCTCCCTGGCCCCTGCTCAGCCTGCTTTCTTATGCAACTAAGGCCCACCTGCCCAGGGCTGGTACAATCCACAGTGGGCTGGACCCTCCCACATCACACAATAATCAAGAAGATGCCCCATAGACATGGCCACAGGCCAGTTTAATGGAGGCAATTCCCCAATTGAGGCTCCCTCAACCCAGGTGTGTCAAGTTAACACTAAAGCTATCCAGCACAGTGGCTAAAGCACTTGTTGAACAAGTGTGCCAAGACCAGAATTCAAATCCGCAGAGCCCACGTGAAGACATAGCGATGTGCATCTGTAATCCCAGTGCCCCTATAGTGATGTGGGGAAGTGCAGACAAGAGAATCACCAGAAACTCACAGGACAGCTAGCCTGGTGCACGCAGCTGCAAATGGCAAGAGACTACCTCAAACAAGACAGAAGATGGACCCCTGAAGTTGTCCTCTGACCTCCACATGCACACTGTGGCATGAGTGTGCCCACAATCATGTACACGAACACCCCCCCACACACACACAGAGATTAAAAAAAAAAAAGAAAAATTTCCCAGTTTTTCTTGGGGGCCTAGAGATGCTAGATATGATGGAAGGCTGAATTTGTCTAACCTAAACTCATCTGTTGAGGTCCTAACCCCCAGAATTGCAGAATGGAACTGTGGAGACAGAACATTTTAAAAGGTAATTAGGGCAAAATGAATCATATGGGTGGGCCCTCCTGGAACATGAATAGGCAGTTGGGACAGACTCGTGCCCAGAAGGCAGCCTTGTGAAGACAGTAAGAAATGAATGTGGCCGTCTGCAAGCAAAGGAGAAAGCTCTGGATATGCCCACACCTTGATCGTGAACTTCCGGGCCCTAGAATGGAGAGGAATAATCCTCCTTAGGCCGAATAGAGGTGGTGGGGACCCTCTACTAGCTTCCTGAGCTCTTCCTGAAGATGACCGCTGAACACTGGTAGGGAACAAGGGCTGAATCCATGAATGCCAGCCAGGTCTAGGAGCTAGGGCCCCCAAACCAGACACCTTCTGGCTGCAGGGGCCACCTGGTGCCCTCCCACCCTCCAGCTGAGAGGTGCCACATCTCACCTAGTCTGGGTCCAGTGCCTGTGCGGCAGGTGGAGAGGTGAGTCCTCTAGAGCGCCCAGCTGGGCCTTGCCTACTCTGGCTCCTCTGTTCCCACGCTCACTATCTCTAATTCTGCTGGATCATCCCTTCTCCTAATTAAAGACTCTTCTTGTCCCTTTGGGGCTGCATGAAAAAAATGTGAATGACATTTAAAAAACCAGAAATTAGCCAGTAAACCAGAAATTAGCAGGTAAAAAGAGTATTAAACATTGATTGCCACAGCCTGTGATACTCTGTTATGTTGCCTCAAGAATGCAGGACCTGCCTTCTTCAGTGCCTAGATGTCACCCACCATGTTTATGCACAGGCTGTGTACAGGCCCTGTCGGCATCTGCATTTGCAACTCTTAATTTGGAGGGAAAGAGTCTTGATTCTCTAGGTGTGTTGTGTGTTCTTATGCCAAGCTTTGAAGTTCATGTGCTTTGGAATTCTCCCCACAATCCTAAAGCTGATACTGTCAACTCTGTTTTGCAGAAGAGAAAACAGAGACCAGAAAAGTAGAAAATCATTTTCCTATGTTAAGCACATCCAGGAACCCAGGCCTGCTAATGCAGGACCCAGTGCTCATGCCCCTCCATCTCAGTCCCTGTGCTAACAGGAAAGTTCCGATGCCTGCATGTCTGTGCACATGTGCATAGAAGCAAGGCACTTACATTAGAGAACAAGGGCAGGAAGGAGTATTGGCCCAAGAAAATGTTTGGCATAGAATTCTAAAAGCAAGACCTAGAATAGAACTCGATTAACTGAACAATCTAACTTAGGCAGGATTCTTTTTATGGAGATAAATACAGTTTGCCTCTGACTGACAGGAAGAAGCTGGGGGAGTGTGAGTGCCTGTCTGCTACCCCTCAGTGAACACTGGGGAGCAGTGAGACTGGGAAAAAGTGCCCCATAGGCAGGGTCAGGATGAGACAGGAAAGCATGCTGGGATTTGCTGAGAAAAAAAGTGACTTCTCCCCGGGGCTGGGAAGATGACTCAGGTGGTAAAAGTCCTCTGCTTTCCTTGTAAACATGAGGACCTGAGTTCAACCCTCAGAGCCCTTTCTTTCATATATATATCAGGCCTGTGGTGGGCTTGTAAGCTCAGCCCTGGGGCAGTGAGACAGGCAGATCCCTGGGGCTCCCTGGCCAGCCAGCCTAGCCTACTTGGTGAAGTTCTAGGCCCTAACTCAAAAAGAAAAGGTGGACAGTACCTGAGGAACAAAACCTAAGATTATTCTCTGACCTCTACATGCACTCACACGTGTGTGATACACACACACACACACACACACACACACACACACACAAACACACACACAAAATGACTTCTTGGGAGAACTTGCTGAAGACTTGATAGAGACAGAGTAGCTTCAAAGACGATCCTGGACTTGTGAAAAGAATTTCATTTCGCCCACACGATGACACACAACACCAGCATTAGAACAGAAGTGATGCCCCTGCTAGGATCTGGGAAGAAGTCACATATTTGACTGCCACGTACTGGATGAGTTAGAATGAAGAGCAGAAGTGATGTTCAGAGAGATGTGGAGGGCTGAATTAGCTAAGTAAGTGGAAAGTTAAGTACCCCATGAAGATGGGAGGGAAGAAATCAGGACAAGAGGGGAGAGGTCTTTACTAACACGACTGTCATCATCACTGCTGGTTGAGTGTAACAGAGCATAGTCTCTGGCAGGTGGTCAGTTAAGGAACGGACCTTGGAAGGGTTGCAAACTGATAGTTTTGCGGTCAGAAAGCAGAAGAGCATCGCACTGAGGCTGCACAGAGGACTTCAGGTGTTACAGGAGGGACTGGGCTGGAGGACCACTACCAGCCACTGCAGTCTTTGGCTGAGCGGTCCTAGGGTGTAAAGAATGAGACTACCACAGAAGGCTCTGGGGTTGGCTTAGGTGATAGAGTGCTTGCCTAGCATGCATGAACCCCTGGCTTTGATCTCCAGCACAGCATACACCTGGCATGGTGGTGCATGCCTGTAATCCCAGCATTCAGTAGGTAGAGGCAGGGGGATTGATAGTTCAAGGTCACCCTCCACTATATAGTGAGTTTGAGGCTAGTCTGGACTACATGGAACCCTGTCTCCAAAACAAAACAAAACAAAACAAAGCACAAGGATTATCGACAAGCAGTTTGAAGGAGGAGGGAAGTGAAGACAGCCGTGAAGAAGTAGATGTAATTCTCTGTCATTTACTATACCTTTCTGAGCTCTGTCTGCCGGTTTGCATGATGTATTTAAGAGCATCTCAAGAGCGAACAAGTCATTGTTCAATCAGTGTTAGCTCTGAATCCAGGTACTGGACTCAGGCATAGAAGGGTTCAAATTCCTTTGCCATCAGTTACTATCTGGAACTTTGAGTTTGTCATTGTCTCTGAGCCAGTTCCTCTTTTGCAGCTGGAGATAACTTGTTGTCATGGTAACAAAAGCGCACAAGTTAAGGGCCCGAGGGCCTGGCACCAAGTAGGCACTCAGTAAACCGCAGAGCTCTTGCCAGCTTAAAGTGTAAGCCACCAGTCAGAGCCTGGCACACGGCACGCTCTTTAGAGATGTTTTCATTCGGGTTATAATACTCAAGGCAGAGGTGGAGAGGCCGGGGCTGTCCAGCCTGAATCCCCGGGCTCTCCAGCTGTGTCCTCCACCCGCCGCCTGCGCATCCTCAGTTCCCCGCCGCCCACCCGCACTGTCCGCCCTGGCGGGGCCGGACACTCACCCTCTCTACCCGGCCAGGTCCAGGACGCCTGAGGGCGCAGCTCTCGGCGGTGCTCCGGTCCTGCCTCCGCAGCAGCGTTGGACTGATCAGCCCTGGCATGGTTTTCCCATCCCGTCATGGGCGGAAACCTTCCTCTCAGTCACGTGCTCGGGCCCGCAGCTGGAGCCTCACTCTTTGGGTTTCAGAAGGCTTTCCATGGGCAGAGGGAGACCTTGGTCGTGGCGACGCGTTTCTGTGTACAGAAGTTGTCAGTGCGTTTGAAGGCTTTGCTTCTCTCTGTTCTGTCCTCTGCGCCCTTCTACTAGTTACTAGTATTTCACTGGACTTGGGAGCATCTGGTTAACAACCGTCTTATGAAACAAAGCTTACAGTCAGAATGTTAATGCAGATATGCCTTCGAAACCTAATGCTGCTTCCACCAACCCTAGATAAACCAGTGAACTGCATAGATAGCTTTTCCTTTTTCCTTAAAGTGGGAAGACTAACAGTGATCTTACCTACACCTGTCTTTCCCCCCATAGTTGGGACACTCACCTATAAGGCATTTGGTAAGGTGTCAAACTATACAGAGACTAATTATTAATAATACATAAATTTATATGCAGCTACAAATTGTACTGATGATAAATATTATATAAATAACATATTATCTAATAGCAATTTATATGTTATATAATATAAAATAAATATGATAATGTAAGTTAGTGGGCTCAATCTTTGATAAATTTAAAAAATTGAAAATGACATTTATTTATTTATTTGTATGTGCATGTGTATATGTAATATGCTTGGGCCGGTGTTCAACACTGCATGTGTGTATGTCAGAGGACAATGTTCGGAAGTCAATTCTCCCTCGCCATATGGTGGATCTTGGCAGTGGAATATAGGTCATCACATTTGATGTCAAGCACCTTACCCACCTTTACCATCTCTCTGGTCCTTAAACAATTAAGGCGTGGTGTCTGCTGTCATGAAGCTTAGAGTCTAGTGAGAATGACACAGTAAAGTGGTCACAAGTAAAGTGCGTGTGACAGAAGAGAGAAACTTTGAGTTTGAAGTTGGGTGGTCAGGAGAAGGCTTGGGAAGGTAGAGTTTTGATGAACCCCGGGATGCCTGGGACCTGTCAGGGGAAGGGGAGGTGTGAGGTGAAAACACAAGTCGTAGGAGGTGACGTGAAGTGTCGTGTAGGGTGTCGACGCACAGGAGGCGGAAGTGGGTTCTCCCTCCACTCAACACCACATTTTGCTGTTTTCAAATGTGTCAGGAATAGAAAAGGTTGAGGAGACCCTGGATAGGATGCCTGGGGGCTGTCACCTGTCCAGTCTGTTCTATGTACTTACATACTTGAGTTCAAGATGGAATAAATTTTTTTTTATTCCTGATCCTACATTACATTCAAGATGGTGTGTTTCTATAGGCAGAGGCTGGACAGGTAATGCATACTAATCCAGTGCTCCAGAGGCCAGTACTGGAGGATCAAGGGTTTGAAGTCAGCCTGGATCATACAGTGAGACCCTGTCTTAATACAATACACAATATAAACAAAATGTCTCCAAAAATTGCCCTCTGGTGAAAGCTGCCGCCCTGTGGACTGTGGGCAGGCCTGCTTTGGTCTGGTGGGTGGTCCAGGTATCATTTCTTTTGGTGCCCCTCAGGCTTGCCCAGTATTTTGACACTGTGACACAATGTTGTCACCTTCAAAGTTCATATTAGAGAATCACATTATCAAGTTACAAGAAACATACACACACACACACACACACAAAATCTCATAATGCTTTAAGTACGTTTACTAATTTGTGTCAAGCCACAGTCATAGCTATCCTAGGGTGTATGCGTCCTGGGGATCACACATTGGATGTACCTACGTGCAGGCATGAGTCCAAGCAAGCCAATCCACCCTCCCCTGTGATCTCTATGAAAGGGTACAACTTTTCTTCTGAAGTGTTAGCTTCAGAGACAGTCCTGGGCTGCCTTGACTCATGACTTCCCGCCACTTGGAAAGAGGCTGCTTAGGGCGAGACAGTGACATTCCCAAACAAGAAGGACTGGAAGGTAGAGCAGGTGCTGTGACTACATTATAAAGTCCTTTGTTCTGATACTTCAATACTTGGGATAAAAATCATATTCTCTTATTCTTTCTTCTTCTCTCTTTAAACTAACTTCAATGATTCCTGTTAGTAACTGTGAAAAGAGACCTACTGCAGTATCCTTCCACACCTAGTTCCAACCTCTCCTCTTTTATGAAGTCCTCTCAACACAGAAGGAAATGAAAAAAAATGCTTTCTTTGAATTAACTAGTGATTTGCTGGATCCCAGCAGCCAAATCTGTGCACACCTTCCAAACTGAGTTTACTGTGTCATGTTGGTAGTTTGGACACATTGCGGTGTGAAAAGGAACACCACAGAAAACAGCAAACAATACAAATCAGTGTGGAGTTCCCCGAAACCCGGCCCCCAGCCTGCTCACCAGTGTACCACTCATTGAATAGTATCATGTACTATTTGTGATACCTCTTGCTGTTTCGAAAATGGTGACATGAGCTGAAGAGATGACTCAATTATTAAGAACACTAGCTGCTCTTCCAGAGGACCCAGGTTTGATTTCCAGCACCTACGTGGTGGCTGACAACCATCCATACCTCCAGTTCCAGGAGATCTGATGCTCTCTTCTGTCCTCCTCAGGGCCCTGCATGACCTGGGTGCACTTACACACATGCAAGCAATACATACAGATAAAATAAAATCAATAAATAAAATATTTTAAAAAGAAGATGGTGACATCAGGTGGACAAGTATTCCCTGGTATAGGCTGCATCTGAGTCTTCAGATTCACAAAGAAGGAAATATCCTGCAAAAGAATTTAGTGCATGGTCCTCATTCCATGCACAAGCCCAGGAGGCCCAGAGACCTTCAGTGGCTTGATAGTTGTAGCACCAACGTGAAGTTCACGATCTTTGATTTATGCCCATAGCTAAAATACAGGTTACTCTGTCCTTTTCAAACTTTCCTTCCCTTACTCCACTTTTGGCACAGAAGTGTCTACATACCATTGCTAAATCTTTCCAAAACCTAGTGGCCAAGTCCCAAGAAGGCAGATTGTATTTTCAACACAAGGCTTTGAGGCTGTAAAGTTCTCCAGAAAGAGGTCATTCCAGACCGGGTCTTAGTAATATAGTGATGCTGGGGAGAAGCTGTTGAGGTCATTCTAGACAGGGTCTTAGTAATGTGGTGATGCTGGGGAGACAGCTGTTGAGGTCATCCTAGACAGGGTCTTAGTAATGTGGTGATGCTGGGGAGACAGCTGTTGATAGGGTGGGCTTGCTGCCATTCCAAGGACTTCTTTTCTTTTTCAATTAATTTTTATTTCATGTGTATGAGTGTTTTGACTACATGTATATAAGTGTACCACATGTGTGCAATGCCCTTGGAAGCCAGAAAAGGACATAGTATCCCTCTGAAACTGGAGTTAGAGATGGTCGTTAGCTGCCATATGGGTGCTAGGGACGGAACTTAAATCTTCTGCAAGAGCAGCCAGTGTTCTTAACTGCCAAGCCATCTCTCCAGCCCCATTCCAAGGACTTCTAGGCTGGTAGGCCCGGGAATTATACTCACTGATGTAATGCCATTTGAGGGACTAGGTCATAAAAGCCTCAAGGTAAGATGGTAAGAGACTGAAGTAGATGTTAGCTACTTATGTCACTTAGGATGAAATAAGATAGTTGTTCAGCTCGAAGGAAAGTGTGTGGATTAAGAAAAATTAAAAATATACTTTTTTTGAACATAGCAAGACCATTTTCAGGAATTTGTTCTGGAAGTGTGCCATATGGATATTTATTGCAACTTGTTTGAATTAATAAAAGACTGGAAACTACAAGGGAGCTAATTAAATGCATCGCTGTATACTTGTATACACATATATGTTCAAAAAGTGTAACTCGGGGCTGGAGAGATGGCTCAGTGGTTAAGAGCACTGACTCTTCTTGCAGAGGACCTGGGTTTGATTCCCAGCCCCCACATGGCAGCTACAAACCGTCCTTAACTCTGGTTCCAGGGGAATCTGAAGCCCTCTTCTGACCTCTGTGGCATTGCATGACACGGGTGCACTCACATACAAGCAGGCAATATACTCATACACATAAAATAAGAATAATAAATAAAATATTTTAAAAAGAAGAAGAAGAAGAAGAAGAAGAAGAAGAAGAAGAAGAAGAAGAAGAAGAAGAAGAAGAAGAAGAAGAAGAAGGGGAAAAAGAAAATAACTCACAAGGGAACACAAAGTGTCCCATCCAGGTGTGATGGCGCAGACCTTAATCTCAGCACTCTGGGGGTTGAGACAGGAGGATTATGAGTTTGAGCCTGGCTGGGGCTATCTAGTGAAACATTGTCTTAAAAAAACACTTTTTTTTCTTTAACTCATGAGGTAATTTCTGGAGACAGGAACTAGAAAACAGTTAGGATGGGCCCACTTATTTTCCTTATATGTCTTGGAATGATGTGAATTTGAAAGTCATGGGAGTGCCTTGCTTATTCAATACCCTCTTCTCCAATAAAATAGAAAGTAAATTGCATACTGTGTTGCAGTTCTTAGAAATTCTTCTTTTGCTCTTATGGATGGGCTGGATCTGAGGGTGAGGCAGAGAGTTCAGAAAGTTAACAGTGTGTTATTTACAATGATATACTTTCTGTAGGGAAATAATGAAAAGAACAGTGTGTCCATCTGCTACCTTTGGGACCAGCGTTTCCTCCACGAGGCAGTGGCAGGTCACAATCATGAGGAGCTGGGGTGACTTAAATCCTGCCTCCCACCCCCAGGCACAAATTCCTCTACTAGACCACAGTAGGTAGTTTCCACAGGAGGGAAAAGAAGAAACAGAGAAAGTTTCTGCTGGCCAAAGGTTTCAGGAAAGTTGAAGTCCTAAGAGGGCTGGAGTTCCAGCACAAATGAGATCAGACAAAAATAGACAGCAATTCTGTTCCACAGGAAGTGACCCAGAAAAGCTGCAGCTGGATTCCAGATGTAACTTGCAGGGCCTTGACTAGAGGAATTTCATTTTTAGAATCAGATGCAAAAAAGCTCTTGTTGAGGCTTCTGGAAGGAACTCAGAAATGAACAGACAAGTTGGGCATAGTGACTCATACCCGTAATCCCAGCACCTGGGAAGCCGAGGTACTGATTACTAAAAGATTACTAAGGGGTCAGCCTGGGCTACATAGGGGCGTCAAGATGAG